CTCTTTTGGTGGGCTCACCAATCCATTCTTGAATACTCCCAACATCTTTCTCGTTCTTTCTTTTCTTTCTTCTTTCTTCTTTGATCGTCAATTCTCAACCAATTCAAATCAATAGAATGCCAGCTTAATAAGCAAACACCACACACGAAAATAGGAACATTGGACGGTCTCAAGATGCATGTGTGTTTGTGTTTTTGGTTATTTATGGATACAATATATATATATATATATATATATATATATATATATATATATATATATATATATATATATATATATATATATATATATATATATATATATATATATATATAAAAACAAGTAACCAAAGAACCGATCGTCAGCGTCGGAAATCAAAACGATCAAAAGTCAATAGAATAGTTGTAGACTTGTAAATTGACGCAAATATACTGAATTATACCAAAAAACCTACTTTATTTTTTCGTTTAATTATTTTTGGGTCAAGTTTTTTATCGGAAAAACAAAATATACCATTCATAATTAGGATCACTATTGATATATAAAACTGATTTTAAAAAAAAAAAGTTCACTTCGTTTTTTTATTTTAAACGTCAGGGTTTATTTTTTTTAAAAAAAGTTAATAAATATATCAAAATTTATATTGTTTTGTACATTTTAAATATATATTTAAAATATTCCTGTGAATCTACTAATCTTTATCGATTTTTTTTTAAAAAAATTCACATGTCAATAATTATTTTTCTAAAAAATTCATATATGTATCAAATATTTCTATGAAATTCAGATGTGAATTTGAGTAATTTCACCAATGATTATCAGTAAATTTATTTGTGTACGAGCAAAACGATAAAATCATAAAAAAAATCAAGTCAACTTATATAGATTTACATTTAATTTAGTTAGATTCACATGTGAACGTGAATTTTTGTTCGAATCCATATGTAAATTTGATATGTTGATTTTAGCTTGTGAATTTTTGTTCGAATCCATATGTAAATTTGATATGTTGATTTTAACGAGCATTCACATATATATTTTTAATTGATATCTATAATCAAAGTTTGAATGTTGACTAAGAAATTGATATATTTTAACGAGTTTTGTACATGATGGTCATGATGGTGTGAATTTTATAGATTTTAACATTTTGATCATACATAAATAAACTTACTGATAATTATAATAAGTGAATTATTTAAATTCACATATAAATGACCAATAATTATTGGAAAAATCAAGTACAATAATCATGCTCATGTAATTTTTTTTATAAAAAAATCAATGAAATTAAAAGATTCACATGAACATCCAAACACACTACTACAAAAAAGTAAATGGGACCCTTTAGAAAGGATCCGGTTTTGAAAAAAACGGGTTTTATTAATAGGGAAATAGGAGTTTTTCATTAATGATTCGGTTTAAAATAAATAACCGGGTTTTATACTCTTTGGACGACCTTTTTCTCGAATTCATAGGCCCCACTTAACAATCAGACTTTTTTTACCGATGAATGAGCAACAACTTTTTTATGAGATTAAGTTTTATCACCAATGACACTTGGTTATTCAAATCCCTAATTAATCTCAATTGATTATGTATAAATCCATATACTTCACCTGGTTTCAATAAACTACAAATTTTATATTCTTTTCTTTCACCATTACGTCTTTTCATTCTTTGCACGTTACTGGTTCACCATCAAATTTTACTTCAATTTCTAAAGGTATTATGATTACTATTTTAATTATGTTGCATTTTTATTTGAAAACTTTGCATTCGTAAGTTATATTTTGTTAAAAGAGTTCTAGTTTTTATAGCACATGATCACCACTTTGCAATATTTTCACAATATCGATTCATCATCATTTTCTTAAGGTATTGTGATAACTCTTTTATTTATGTTATATATTTATTTTATAAGTTTGCATTTAACTCTTGAGATCGAGTAGTTTTGTTAAAATATTTCTATTCTTTTATATAACAGAAATGCCGGCAGAAATCAATTGAACCACAAAACACACTTTTCTAGCTCGATCTAATCTACACAAGTAAGGTAACATTTTTTTTACCACTTTTAAGCAATCGTTCTAATTATTCTAGATTTTATTTAATATTTTAGGTACCTAATACAGAGTGGCGGGAAGGAAAAATCAATATGAGAGAGAGAAACTAATTAGAATAATGATATCTAACCATTATACAATGAATAAAATAAATTTTAATGTTTTTAATTATTAAATTATATATATGTTATCATGGTACGTCACATATTTTGTTTTATTATTTACATTGTTATTTTTTTTTTCTTGACTGTTTCTAAAAACTTTATTTATAAATTTTTGTGTTAGAAATTTAGACAATAATAGCACTTGAAATTATGAGAATTGTTATTGTCATTTTCAAATTTAAATATTTTAATTGGTATTTAATTTAAAATTTGATTGAACTGATAAAAGAAAAAAAATATATTAATTGTTTAATCTAAATTGTAAAAGTAATTACGTATGTATATTTTTTTTTTATCACTTTTTAGGATACCCATCATATATTTGCAACATCCATTTAGTAATTTAGTTAGTATCATATACATTGCATATGCTTTTAGATGTTTACTTATCCAAAATTAATGTAATAGAGTTTAATTTTCAGGATTCTTATTTTAAGACTGTTTTTTTAAATATTTTGTCTCGTATAGTCAATTATATTAATACTTTCTCCAGTATAGTGATTTTATTAAAATACATATTTTGAATTATAGATGGATCGTACTTATTGGATGTACGAGATGAAAAGTTCAGACGTTAGATACTTGGCATGTTTGGCCGATTTTCTAAAAGTTGCAGAGGAAAATCGGGTGAAAAAGGGAGAAGGTTACATATGGTGTCCTTGTATCGATTGTCAAAATTATCATATGTACACTGATTCTACAAAAATAGAAGAACATCTGATAACTCGTGGGTTTATGAGTAACTATACGTGTTGGCCACGACATGGTGAGACATTGCTCGATCAGAACACAAGTTTCTCAGAAATTAACAACGAAAATGATTGGAATGAGGATCGTGATAATGTGTCTGATATGTTGCATGACTGTGAGGATAATGTTCCTGAGAAGGAATATTATGACGAATTTCAACAACTGTTTGACGAGTCAGAAAAACCATTGTATACTGGGTGCACAAAATTTACCAAACTTTCAGTTGTGCTCAAATTGTTTAACATAAAAGCAACCAATGGTTGGAGTGATACAAACTTCACAAGTGTACTTACGATTTTGCATGAAATGCTTCCCGAAGATAACGAACTGTCTGTTTCATTATACCAAACAAAAAAATTAATTTTTCCACTGGGATTGGAAATCGAAAGAATACATGCATGTCCAAATGATTGCATGTTATATAGAAACCAACATGCGGACTTAGGTAAGTGTATTATATGTGGTACTTCACGGTATAAGAGGAAAGCCCAGATGGAAGAAGAAAATATTAAAGTGGCCAAAAAATGCCCACCTGCTAAATTATTATGGTAATTGCCAATCATACCAAGATTGAAACGGTTATTTGCAAATGCCAAAGATGCAAAGTTGTTGAGATGGCATGTTGAGCGTAAAATAGACGATAAGATCAGACATGTGGCTGATTCTCCTTAATGGAGGAATATCAACAATGATTTTGAAGAATTTGGTCAAGAGATTAGAAATATTCGATTCGGACTTAGTTCAGACGAATTTAATCCATTTGGAAGTCTGAGTAGTCGTCACAATACATGGCCAGTACTACTGTGTATCTACAATCTCCCACCTTGGTTATGCATGAAACGAAAATATATTATTATGTCATTGCTAATTCAAAGCCCAAACAACCTGGAAACGACATCGATGTGTATTTGGCTCCATTAATAGACGATATGAAAATATTATGGAATTCAGGTGTTGAAGTGTATGATGCATATATAGGGCATAATTTCCAACTCAGAGCCATGATTTTTTGCACCATAAGTGATTTCCCGGCATACGGGAATTTATCAGGATACAGTACAAAAGGGAAAAAGGCATGCCATATTTGTGAAGACGACACACATTCATTGTGGTTAAAAAACTGCAAGAAAACTGTATACATGGGTCATCGAAGATTTCTTCCACATAAACACTAATATCGTAGAGAAAAAAAGGTCTTCAATGGTAGAATCGAGAAAAAAAAAGGCAAGAAAACCATTAAATGGAGAAATTTTATTTTCCCGACTTGAAAATCTAAACATTGTGTTCGGTAAAGTAAAAGGTAAAAGTAGATCTGTTACCAATAGTATTTGGAAGAAGAGGTCTATATTTTGGGATTTACCATACTGGAAGCACTCGCAAGTCCGACATTGTCTTGATATCATGCATATAGAGAAAAATGTTTGCGAAAGCTTGTTAGGGTTATTGTTGAACCTTAAAGGGAAGTCTAAAGATGGGGCTAGCGTTCGAAGAGACATGGTAGCAATGGGAATTAGACCCGAGCTTGCTCCAGTTGAGAATGTTGGGAAACGTAAGTATTTGCCTCCAGCATGTTATACCATGTCCAAGGATGAAAAAGAAAATTTTTGCCAATGCTTGCATAGTATGAAGGTTCCATCTGGCTATTTTGCTAACATTAAGAAGTTGGTGTCGATGAATGACTTAAAATTGGAAGGTATGAAATCCCATGATTGTCATGTTTTGTTGACACATATGATTCCCATTGCAATTCGTGGAATACTTCCGGAGTCTTCCTATTCCTGTAGTGACTGATGAAGTCAGTAATCTTCAAAATGCAGTTGGCCAAATAATTTAGTGGCCACAAAATGCTATTATTCTGACTCAGGTACATATTTTTTATCCTTGATTTTTTAGTTACTATGTATATGCATAATTTATTTCCAATGTGTTTAATGAAAATGGTTTGTGGATATAGATTCAAGGAAGAAAGCAATAAAATTCGACTCCAAGTTTGCCACAAATCAGTGTAGGGGGTTGTACAAGAAAGAACACACTCACTCAAATGAACAAATCGAAGCCAATTGAATTACTACGTGAGCGATTGAAGAACAACCCACTAATTCATGTTGTAGCTGATGATGGCATTCTAGAATCTGACAATTTTGAGTTTTGGGTAGCACATGATGAAATTCTTCAATTGTTGAACAAAAGAACACTTGATGTTACCATTCTAACCATTTGGGAGATGTAAGTACACATAACTTTATTATTGTTAGTTGCTCCAATATTTTGTTTCTAGGTTGTTTGTAGATATTATATGCTTGTAACACATTTTGTCTTATTTTTAGGAATCTACATTCCATTGCACGTGTGAAGAACAAATGTTCTTTCCTAAACCCACATAAGATTCTTGGGGAAAGTTGCCAAGAAAACCCAGAAGGTGTCATAAATTACATTGTTGATGTGATGCGGATTCATCAAGGAAAACAATTTCTCATTGCTCCATATCTGCAAAGGTACTTTATGTTGATATATATAATAATTGTTAAACTTTCTCTATATTTATTGTTTATACTAATACTTCAAACATTACAAGTAAGCATTGGGCTTGTTCGTGATTTGCCCTCATAATGGCACCGGGTACATATTGGATTCAATTAAGAGTCCTGTACAAAAGCCTGTGGATACCTATTACCTACTGAAGAAACATGTTGACACGTAAGAAATTTCATAAACGTGACATTGTTTTCTATTATTTTTATCACAACACTAATTTTTATTTTTCAGGGCTTTTGCAAGGTATGGGAAATACACATCAAATCCAATCAGTTGGACGCTTGCCGAGGTAATTCATGTCACTATACCCAAAAATATAGATTTTGTATTTCACTTGTTTGATTAGTGTATATTTGTGATTACAATTTAGTGCAATCAACAACCGGGCGATTGAGAATGCGACTATTATGTAATGAAATGGATGATGGATTTTGTGATGGTTGAACAACACGGATTCTTGAGTAGAGTAAGTACTTAAATATATTTATCATTTTTGTATATGACTATAGACTCTATTTTTTTATATAACAATTGTAATTTATATTTTTATATAGACTACTACCCCTTGGAAGGTACCACTCCTTTTTCGGAAACCACCTTGTTTTCAATTGTTGTTAAGTGGGCAACACAATTCCTGAACAAATATATGAAAATGTGGTTTTCTAGAAAGACATATATGATTAGTTTTTAATACTTACAACAACGAACTTTTAGTTTAACCTTGACCAATTTGTTATAGACTAAGAATACCTAATGTGCACATAATGTTCTAACCAGGCTCTTCTTTAATGTTTAGTTATGGCAAAACAAAAGGAACAATGGTGAAAGTTGGACTCGTTGTGATTGGAAGACTCACTTTGATTGGAACCATCAATGCTGTTTTTTTTATTGCTGTTCAAGTTTTTTTTTTTTTTTTTTTTTTTTTTTTTTTTTTTTTTAGCTGCAACAATTGCTTAACTAGTTAACTTATATTTGCATTACTGTTTGAACTTTATTATTGTTATAAGCAACTATTCAATTTAAATTTAATATTTCGTTTTATCTTGAATGTATCCAATATTTGCTTGCTCTTTAATGTGTATGTTGGCAAAATTTGATCTTATGTTAACAACATTTGGATGTTTAGGGTGCCATGTGAATGAAAATATGATTATTTATTGTGTATTAAAAAAATTTTGGAAAAGGGTAAAGGACCCGGTTGTTTATTATTATAGAACCAGGTAATATGTTGGTGGAAAATTGATTTTGGCTCGGTAAAAGATGTTGTTCTATGTATGGAAACCGGGTTTTATATTACAAATATGACTCGGTAGAAAACCGGGTTCTATATGTCATTTCAAATATAACCCGGCCACAACAAACCCGAATGCAAAACCGGGTTCGATTAGGTATTTTAACCGGGTTTTTTTTGCTTTTTTTGTAGTAGTGACATAAATTTTAATTTTTTTTGTTTATTTATATATTGATACTAATTTTAAAAAGCGCCAAAAATATGAATTTTAATATATTTATTAATTTTCTATCAATAAAAAAAGTCTTAACTTTTTCAAAAAATAAAGGAAACGATCAATTGAAGATTTTTTTTATTTTATTTTATTTTATTTTTTTTATCGATATAGATCTCTTTTTAAAAAGAACGAATAATCATGAACAATGATATATAAATATATTTTTCCGATAAAAAACTTAGCCTAAACAAATTAAATAAAAGAATAAATAGATTGTTTAGTATAATCCGGTGCATTCCAATATATAACTCTTGAACCATTCATTTGATCATTAGTCGTTTTATATTCTGACACTTTATATTGATTATTTCGTTCTTTGATTAATAATGTTTCTTGAAATTCTCTCTCTCTCTCTCTCTCTCTCTCTATATATATATATATATATATATATATATATATATATATATATATATATATATATATATATATATATATTCATGTTCATTTGAGATCATTTTAATTTTGTGAAACCAAACCTAAAAATAATTTAAAAATGCAAAATAAATGGAAAAATCCAAAAGTTCTTTTTTTAAATATTATTTTCGGAACTTGAATTAACTAAAAAAACAAAAATAAAAATAAAAATAAAAAAAATAAAAAAATTCCGTTTTTTTTTGAAAAATAAGTGAAATATTCTAAATAGAATATTATACTGATATATTCTAAAAAATAATTTTAAAATGCAGAATAAATGGAAAAATCTAAAAATTCTTTTTTTAGATATTATTTTCGGAACTTGAATTAACTAAAAATAAATAAATAAATAAATAATTTTTTTTTTTGAAAAATACGTGAAATATTCTAATAGAATATTACACTGACATCTTCTAAAAAATAATTTTAAAATGCAAAATAAATGGAAAAATCCAAAAATTCTTTTTTTAAATATTATTTTCGGAACTTGAATTAACTAAAAAAAAAAATGCGTCTCACGGTCTCATAAAATTAGGTCGTCTCACATAAACTAACCCTATATATATATATATATATATATATATATATATATATATATATATATATATATATATATATATATATATATATATATATATATATATACACACACCAAAGGGAGGGTAGAGTTGGTCATTGTTGTGGCCAAAATAATGACTACATTCAACGAAGGAATAAAGAAAATGACAAACAATTATATATATACACACCAAAGGGGTCATTAAACGAAGGAATAAAGAAAATGACAAACAATTATATATATACACACCAAAGGGAGGGTAGAGTTGGTCATTGTTGTGGCCGATATAATGACTAAATTCAATGAAGGAATAAAGAAAATGACAAACAATTTTTTACAATGATTTAATTTAACATCAAAATCTAGTTATTGGGGAAACAAAAACTAACTTAGGAATGAAACTGAAACACAAAAAAAATAATAAAAAAAAAAAATAAAAAACTTAAATGAACCTACAATTTTTTATATACAATATCGACCATTCTTATCATTTATTCCTCTGGGCATAACATAATTATGTCATGAAATATTAATAAAGATTTAAGGGTCTAGTTGAAAAATACTTAAGAAAACATTTATAGAACTTTCTCAAAAAATATTCCAAATTTATGTTTGTGGAAAAATCAATTTAGTCCCAACATAATGAACTTAATCAAGTTTGAAAACAAACGAGGTTGTTAGGGATAAACATATGAAAACGAAGTTCAAGTTCCTATGACATTCTTTTCTCTAAATGTTTCTATATGTTGCATCTTGACTAACATGACACCATGCTACCATAATTTTTTGTTGCATCTTGACTAAACAAAAACATATCTTCTTTAGTTTATCATTTTTTACCTTTTTTAATATTTTTGTTTGGCCTTTGATAATCGTCAAACAAAATTTTAGAGATGGTTTGTGTGGTTTCATAAGTGGGCATACTAGGCATTTGATTCAGATTCAGAGATAACTAATATTTTTTTCGGACTGAGAGAGTTATATTATTTTCAAAAAACTTTCATAAAATGGAAGGTTTAGGCTATAATTTGGATAATTATGATCCATAAGAAAGAAACTAGATATAATAAGAAGGTTTAGATATTAGGAATGAAAAATTCAAAATGTGTATGAAGTTCGACATATTGGATTCTATATATAAAGAATTGAAAATTATGGTACTATTATTAAAAATTATAAGAGTTTTGGTATCCATTGTTACTGTAACACGGGAGTAAGATTGATTGTCATATTTCATATTTGCTTGTGACTTTGTATCATCTGGTGATTGAAATTATGACTTTGTTTGCATCTTTTTTTGCTTATACGTGTATTTTTGCAAAAAAATGAAAAATACCCATGACCGGTCTAAGGATTCCTCCAATAAACATGGTTTTAGGGGCAGACCTCATATGGTTCTTTGGGTCCTGGGCTACTACTCTTTTCCATCTTCTAAGGGTAAAAAAAATTTTCTGAATGTTTTATTTTGGTCATTATACTTTGTTTAAACTACCATTGGTCATTGAACTTGTTTTTTTTGGTCATTTTGTTCACTCTAACCGGTGATAGACGGTATAAACCATTGACAATGTGATAATTAGTCATTGAACTTTTTTTGGTGTTTTATTTTAATCATTATACTTTGTTTAAGCTATGTTTGGTTACTGAACTTTTTTATTTTTTCATTTTAGTCAGTCTATTTTTTATTATCATTTATAAAAAGTTAAAAAACTATATTTTTTTTAATTTCTCCACAATTAAACTTATTACATCAATTATTTTAAAGTAAATTATATGAATAATCTGTGTGACTAAATGTGCATCCTACGGTAAATCACGAGACTCTTCTTTTAAAGTCATTGGGAGTGATCGAGTTAAAAAAATTAAGGACTAAATGTGCATCATATTGGAAATCATAATGATTATTCATATAATTTACTCTAAATAATTGATGTAACAAGTTTATTTGTGGAGAAAAGGAAAAAACAGTAGTTATTTTTTTTAATAATAAAATTTTTTATACATGGTAATAAAAAAATTAGAGTGGCTAAAATGAAAAAAAAAATTAAATTCAGTGACTAATAATAACTTAAACAAGGTACAGTGACTAAAATAAAACATCCAAAATATTTCAATGACTAATTATAACCATGACGTGTCGTTCGATTTTATATACCTGCTATCACCGGTTAGAATGACCAAAGTAAGCAAAATAAATAAGTTCAATGATTAATGATAACTTAAGCAAAATATAATGATCAAAATAAAACATCCATATAAAAGTTCAGTAATTAAAAAAGAGCTAAACCCAATTTTTTACCATAACACAATTATGTCGACTACCAAAACAAGTACCTAATAAAACATATTTATATGTTATTTTCTACGCATAACTTTTATTTGCAATGCCACATACGGATAATATATTATGTCAAGTTCCGGGTTTAAATCTGGTGGTATTGGTTTTTGTAAAGAAAATACTAATAAAAATGAAAATTTTAATTTTACTATAAACATGATCATGTCAACCACCAAAATAAGTATCTATAAAAACATGCTAATATGTTATTTTTTATACATAACTTTTATTTGCAATGCTAGCTATGGATAATATATTATGTCAAGTTCTGGGTTCAAACTTGGTGACATTGGTTTTGGTAAAAGAAATACTAATAAAAATGAGAAATTTATTTTTACTATCAACATGATCATGTCAACCACCAAAAATAATGTCTAATATAACACATTAATATATTATTTTTATGCATAAGTTTTATTTGCAATGCTAACTATGAATACTATATTATGTCAAGTTTCGGGTTTAAACCTGATGATACCAATTTTGGTAAAAAAATACTAACAATTATTTCTACTATCAACATGATCATATCAACCAGTGTTCTAAAAATCGCCGAGTTGGCCGATTACTTGGAC